CACAAGCAGCACAAAATGCAATTTAGAATGGATGTAATGGCCTATGTCTGAATATGTAATAAATTGTGTGAAAATAAAATGCAAGATGCCAAAAAGTAACAAAAAAAGCCACCTAGTAGTTGAAGACAACCTATTAACTTCTTCCGGCAGCAAGGCTTCCCCCATGTTCTTAAAAAAGGAACATACTAAATTCAGCACTCTCTTTTCTTACCATGGAAGTTGGTATCCTCAAGTGATATGTTCAGCAATAGCTCTTATCTCAGGAACAGTCTTAACTGAAGACTTAATTCCCTGAGGGCAGCTCTGAAAAAAAGAAAGGCCAACCACCACACTTTTTTTTTTGTTTTGGGCCAGAGCAAGTGGAGATTGTCAGATGCTCTGACAACAGTGCATTGATGCATGCTTTGCTTTGCACAGCTATTCTGGTGAAAGACTAGAGAGATACATACTAAAAAAGGTTAATTATTTTTAAAAACCCTACTTGGCACATTCCCTTTATGGACCATTACCTTTAAGTGATGAAGGAGCTTGTCCATCCCAGTGATAAGTTATACCAAGGGGAACATACCCATGAGGGTCATCTATGATGGGCAAGTCATAGATGAGAAATCAGACTAAATTCAATCCACTGGAAAGGAAATGGCAATCCACTCCAGTATTCTGCTGAGAAAATCAAATGGACATTCATAACCAGGGCACTGTTAACATGATATTGGAAGATGAGTCACAAGGTTAGAAGGTATCCAACAAATAGTGCTGGTACTTATGATGTGGTTGAACTAAAGGCAAAAGGACATCCAAGCCACTGATACGTCTGAAGGCAAAAAAGAGTCCAATGTTGCAAGGATATGTATACCATTGTATACCATAGATGGAATGTCAAAACCATGAACCAAGGCAAACATGTCAGAGCAGAAATGTCAAGACTGAACACTGACATTCTGTGAATCAGTGAACTGAACTGGAACATTTCACATTAAAGGAGCATCAAATCTACTGTAAACAAGAAAATTATAGAAGAAATGGGATTATCATTATTAACAAAAGAATGTTAAAGTTGGTGTTCAGATACAACCCCGAAATGATAGAATTATCTCAATTTTGGTCCAAGGCAAGCCAATCAATAACCACAGATGTAGAGGAAGCAGAAGCTGAATAATTTATGACGACTTACCGCATTTTGTCCATACAACACCAAAAAAAGATGTCATACTATTCTATGTGACCTAAATAGTGAACAGAAAAATATGGCGCTGGTCTATGAAATGAACCAGGACACAGAACAGCCAAGAAAATGCAGTATTTGTAGCAAGATACCTTCTTCCTATAACCTAAAAGATGACTCTACACAGAGGCATCACTGAAATCAAATTAACTACATATTCTGCAAGTAAAGATAGAAAAACTCTATTCCACCAAGCAAAAGCAAGACCAGGCGCTGACTGTAGCTCATGTCGAACAACTTGTATTATTTCAACTTAAACTAAAGAAAACAAAATAATCAGATAAGATACAATCTCAGCAGTATTCCACGATTACGCAATGAAGATTTGATAGATTAGATTTGATAAGAGGCCATGAAGAACTCAAGATATGCTTCATCAGGATGAAGCAAACAAAACTATCTCAAAAAGTTAGAAGCAAAAGAAGTTTCTTCCTATATGTGTTTACCTGATTTTCATTGTGAAGCTGCCTAGAGTTGTTCTGGAGTCTAGAAATGTAATAAATACAAAATTGCTGAAGAAAACCAGAAGGTGAAAGTTTACACTAAAATAAATACAGAGTTCCAAAGAACAGCAACAAGAGATATGTATATCTAAAGAAGTGTTGCAAAGAAATTGAGGATAACAAATGAACAGGAAGAACAAGAAACCTACTTAAGAAAAATTACAGAAATCACGGGAAACTTAAGATGAACTGTACAGTATAAAATTTTGCAAGACAATACCATTAGAGCTATTTCTTGTTTATAAGCAGATATGGAAAACCTATCAATGCTAAAACTTAAAAAATATCAGTTTATATTCCAATACCAAAAAATATACTAAAGAATACTCAAACTACCTAACAATTGCACTGTCTCACATGCAAGATAATGCTCAAAATTTTGTATCCTGATTTCAACAACATATAGAACTGCCAGATATCAATAGCTCTTAAAAATATGGATGAACTGGGCCAAGTCATTTATCTATTGAAGAATTAGCATGATCAGGAAGCAAGAGAACAGAATATGGAACAGCTAGATAGATCAAAATTCCTAGTGGAGTGGTCCAAGGCTTTACATAAATTGCCTTAATTTATATGCAAAAGATCATAAGAATTACTGTGCTAATTACTGGAAAAAACATCAGCAGCTTCAGATATGCTAATACCACTTCGATGGCTGGAAGTAAGGAAGACCTAAAGAATTTCTCATTGACAGAGAATACTGTACAGAAGCTGGTCTGTTTATCTTTGTCACACTGCTGAAACACTATATGCCAATCTCTTAATCCTTAGATCTAATAAATTTAACGAATTAATGAACATTACACTTCTCTATCAATGTCGAAGGGGTAGTAATAATTCCTTTTTACCAGGCCCTCTGCTTACTTTTTTGCTAATTCAGTCACTAGTGTTTTTATTCCTGCATGGGTAAATTGGTGTATTTACATTTTTAAGGGTATCCAAAAGATTGTTTAGAAACATGTTGAGTTCAAAACTTCACTGAACATCCCATTTCAAGTATATCTGAGTTTGTGAGCTAGGGGCCAGCTTTGTTTTGAGCTTGGAAGGCTTCCAAAATACTTGAAGTAGTCCATTCATACTCACAACAGCAGTTTCAGGATCAGAACAGTTCAAAGTGAAACGTTTTGCACACCAATATATACTACAGTAACCAAACAGATGATACTGTTGATCTCTAGCAGTAGAATTGCATCTTAGGGTCTGGGAAACCCAACTTCCCAGAACCCTTCCCTTTTTGGAAAGGTTATCTAATGACCTCAATAGGAGGGTTTTTATTCTTGAACAAAGAACCATCACAGTTATGTTTTAAATTTCCTCCACAGGAATGTATATTCAAGACTGATTTTCATATCTGCCTATCAGAGTACGTGTACAAAGTAACAGATTCAAGAATATTACTTTTTCTCTGGGAACGAAATTTAAATTCATCCAATGAAGAGGGGGGGAAAAACTTAGAGCAAATAATCACAAAATTAAGAGATAGAAACGTGAAATATTTTCCACTGGAGTTCTAGCCAGAACAATTTTCTTAAGTGATGAAACATTTGCACTACAGCTGTACTTTCCTAGAGGTATACTGAGATGTTATTAATGGCTCAGAACCAAAACCAACAATGCACTAGATTATTGGTAGGCACATGGCCTTCTCTATATGCATATATTACAATTTCTAAAGTATCTTGCCATTAGTTATAACTGCTGGACCAATAGTTTAATCCCAAACATCTCAGAGCATAAACCTGCTTAATTCTTGCATTTAACCATTACATCCTAGTTGAACTTTTCTTTTCTTGGGAAAGTAATCAATTGGATCTGCCAAATAAAGCATCCTCACTGTATGACAAAGAATTCTTTAGTATAAAAATTGCAGAACACCAAGAACCATCAGAAAAACAGCAAGTTTGCTTTGTCTATTATTTGTGAACAGAGCAACTCATAACATACATAGGGCAAATTAGCTTGGCTATTTTAGACAAGGCCATTCCTTTTATAATAAATTTAAAGTCAGGAGAATCTCAATCAGAAATCCATTACATCAGTACACATGCCAGTTTGTAGTCTGAAATGGAAGTTCCTATCTGAAGAAGTCCTAAATATTCATGCCACTTCAGGCACAAGGATCCATAAATGGGGGTGTGGGTGTGCATGCCCCAAAATCTCTCCATATTTGCCCCTACCAATAAAACGCCATTATATTATTAGCAACATGTTCTAAATTCTTATATTCTCATCAAACGCTATTATCTTATGTTGTCTCAGCTCTACCTCAGTCTTACTTTACTCTGGTGGAAGCAAGATGCTAAAAACGTGTCACATATTAAGAGAAAAATGTTTAGCACTAAGGCTAGTGATTAAAAATATTCCACATGGTATTTTTAACTCCAGGGAAGAACCAACAAATTGCACTTGCATGTGGAGCAGACACAGAAAAATATTGCGTGTGCTTGCTTACAGAAGTTTGCAAATTTGCGGGAGGAGGCAATGACAGGTCCAATAGTGTAAAGCAACATAGGCTATTTGTCTTCAAAGGGTTGTCATCTGAGCATGACACAATTATAGAAGAGCCTTCTTGAAGGAGGCTTGTCATTTTCTTGGTCTATTCTTGCTGTACTACCCACTTTGTTAAAATTACATTTCAGATTTTATATTGTACCTAGTAATATTGCAGTGTCTCACATTTCATTCCAAAAAGGTGTTTTAGAGCAACAGGTTTTGAATTAATACCTATCTACAACCCAAGCTGCTACATTTTTCTTTGAATCAGGATTCAATATGTTACTGAGTGGCTTTCCTGCTTTAACATTTTATGAATCACTTTTGAGTGCACAGTAGTAATCCTTAAAAATGGACTGCGTGCAAACTTTCTGCCCGATGTTTTCCTTAGTCAGTTGTCTTATGCTTCCCTAGGCTGTCTTAACTGGGTTTTTCGCACTGCAGTTCTAATCTTGTCATTTCATCTCTCTGAAATTTCAGTTACAATTTCAAAATGAAACAGAAGCCGCACATTTCAGACCATACAGTTTTAAAAACATACTTACAACTTTTCTGAAAGTATTTCATTTCCTATCTTTCCCCACTTTAGTCTTGAGAAACTGACTGTACCACAGTGGTGAAATGCAGCAGTACTTCTGTTTTAACTGGTAAAGAGCCAGACAATAAGTATCTAGCTACACTGTTGACTGCATGTAAGGAAGGCATCCAAATTTTGAAGCCAGAACACTAACTTAATAGATTTAAGATTTAATTTTGCACATCTTAAAATGACAATATTGTTTGAGTACAATCTTTATTGAATACAAAAAGTTGCCAAAAAGTGAAAAAATACATTATATACAAAACCCATAATCCTTGGGAGGGAGCATGTCCAATATTAAAGAACTATCATACAGTACTTTGAACAGTTTCAACCTGTGGTCTTCCCCCTGTCTAAAAAGAAAAAAAAAAGTTTAGTTAATATATTCCTTTTACAAGGCTAATTAATTAATGCATTACCAAAGGATTCAGTACAGTTTAATAAGACTATCACTTAATGCTCATCTTGACAGAAGCAATTAAACTCTGATAGTGATTAAATAACCAGATATAAGTTTCTTACATAATAGTACTTAAATAAGATCACTATTTCAAAGCATGAATAAACTGTACGCAGTTATCCAGAAGTATGTAATGCTATATTATCAAGTTAGACTTTTAGTTTAGGTCCAATACATATATTAACATGTGTTTTAACATGGATATATTCCCAGCTTCAAGAAGTTTGGGAGAAAACCAGCAGGCAATTAAACATAGGCAAGAAAAAGGTACCTGGGAAAGGAAGAGCATTTCTAGTTATTATTTCAATTTATATGACTCCTGACTGAACTGCCCACCTCCTGTTCCATTTTCTCTCCAACTTCATTTCCTCTGGGGGCTGCATCACCACCACCATTGACAGCCGGTTCTGATTTAGATTTCTTAGCTTCATTGTCTCCCTGTTGAGTTTCTTCCTCTGGTTTCCTCTGAAGACAAAATTGTTTAGTCTTCATCAAGTACAACTTTACATGTGAATCTTAATAAAGAATATTTAGTGTAATTATGGATAGCCTATTAAGTAGCAAGTGCTGTTTTAAATTGAGCAGGATTACAGTGTGCAATGTCTATTTGGTCCTCTTCAGCTGTTTGAAAATTAAAAAGGCTAATTAGCAGCCTGCATATTATTCTAAAGATCAAATTTAGGACCAGAATTCTAACATTAGATTGGGAATTCAAAATAACAATTATTTGATTTAAAGGATACTATTGAAATATTGCTCAGCAACTCATACAGTAGCCCTAAGATACAAATACGATAGAAAAGAATATATATAGCTCAGGGTTGAACTTGGAGTCCTTGGTATTATGACTAGCACTGATGTTACCTAGTTGGGTAATGAAACATCTGCAAGCAAACTACCAAGCTCAGAGAACACCAGGGACTCCAAGATATAAATACAGCTGAGCAGACTATGCTTGGCTTATTTCAGATTGGCTATAGTACTGAGTAGTTCTCCATTTCCACTTGAAATAAGGGAACCCAGTTCAGCCTGGCTGTTTGGCTGTGAAGTTCAGTTTCTATGGATGTTATGTCACCTTTGTACTCTGAACAACTATCATGGGCATTTTTGCAGGTCCTTAACACAGTCAAGTGGAAGCACCTGTTGAACCCACACAATTAAGTTTTGAAATTAAACCAGGGTTAAGAAGGTGGGTGCTGCACAGCACAAAACCACCAAGGCTATCAAGGAAACTAGATGGTTTCCAGACTGATTGGCTCCCAGTGGAAAGGATTTTATGGAGGATATATAACATTTGTAGAAACAATGTGATTTAACCTTTTAACTGCAGGATTAACTACTACAAGCCAGTGAGAACTGTATTTATTAGTAGAACACGCACCTTTTTCCTAACAAGATGGGAGATGTCTGTAGCTCCATCAGTTGTGTGCCCAACTGGAATCTATTGCAGAAATGGAAGAAAGTTTCTATTAAATATTATACTACAGTAGCATAAAGCTGCTTGCTTTTGATAGTGTCACTTACTGTTGAAGTTGCACTACTTTCACATCCTTGTGAAAAGCTGGAAGATCCACCAACCTGGAAAGAAAGAAATCCTTCATTGTATAAACTATTAGAAACCCTCTAACTACTGAAACTCCAGAAAATACATAGATTAGGACAAACATGTTTTTCTGAAATCTACTCTTGACTTAATTGAACATCTGAATAGTTTTAAGAACCAATAACGCATGCTCATTTAAAAGTTTAATTTGTAAACCTTCAGTTTTAACAAACTAATCTTGTTCTAAGTGACATTTATAAAAACAGAAAACCCACAGAAACATTGCTACCTCCTAATGTGTTCAAATGTCAAGATCCACAATAAAACCAATGATATATCACTTTGTCATGTTAAATGATATTCTGCTCAGATTTTAGGTTTCAGACCTATTAATCACTTTTCATAATAAAGTACAGCATGCAGGCACATACTTTTTTTATTTTGCCTTGATACAAACATTTTGAAATCTGTTTATTTCAACAGAAACAACAATGTAACTCACTAGAGTTGCTTTGAGAGCCAGTTCAGTCACACTTGCACTGTTTTGAGACTCTTTTGAGTCCTCTATCTTTTCTTTGATTTCAGGAAGCAGTCCCTTGAGTTCCTCTATTTCTTTTTCATCCTCAGCTGGTCCCTCTCCCTTTGCTTTTAGTCGCTCAGTCAACATAACTGAAAAAAGGTGACGATATAGAAGCCATTAGTACTCTCTGTGGAAACAACTCATTCGATTTGGCCTTGTCATCACATGGTACAGAATAAGAAAACACAAAAACCCTCCAAAAAACAAAATCAGAGAGTAGCAACTGTTCAATTTTCTGTCAACTGACCCACTGACCCTTTTAAAACAGCTTCATAATGAAAACCCAAATCTTTAAAGCAAATGTAGGCTCAAGACAAGGCAAAAAGCCAGTTTAGGTCTATAAGATCTTTGATCTTTTGTAAAAATAAAAAACAAAACAAAAAACCTCAAATATTTATGGCTCTCAACTATTTCAATAATCACAACAAAATTACTCTGAGCTTGCTTTATGGTTCACAGGGCAGTTCTGGTAATCAAACTAGTCTTAATCCATCTCTGTCCAGGCAACTTATAATAAGGTAAAATCAACCTAAATGCAACTATCCACTAAAGAACTGCTGTGAACAAAATTCAGGTCCAGACCCAACATCTGCATCAGAATCCTGTTCATAAATCACAGCTTCAATGGCCTTGTGAAAGTTAAGCAGAGTGGGGGTTCTTGAACCTCAGGTAGCAATGTGTTCCAAAGTATGGGGACTGCCACTAAGAATGTATTCATTGTCCTAATTCACACAGGTTGGGGATGCTCAGCAACCCTTTAGGATCAGCACACACAATGGGCTAAGTTTGAATGTGAGAGACAATTCTGTAGCTATATGGGAATTATGTCATGCAGGGAATTACAGGTCAAAACCAACCCTTTGAATTGGAGCTGTAAAGCTATTGGTAACCATCATAGGAACCAAAATCCAGAGGTCATATTGCTAAAGCTGCTTCTCCCCATTAGAAATTGGGACACTGCATTTGGGACTGAGTACAGTTGGAGTCATCTTTGAAGAAATGTGTCGCAGTAAGCTAAACTCATAGCATAACAGCATAGGTCACTACTGGCCTGCAACTGGCTCACCAACTGAAGCTGGACAAAACCTTCTTCCTGGCCACAGCTTCCACTGCTGTTCAATTAGGAGTACAGACTAGGAAGACTCCTAAGACATGGACTTGCCCAGTCAGGGAAAGAGTAACCATATCCCGGACCAAACTTGCTGAAATTTAAACTTGTTCTGGTCTATCCAGTCCCTCAGACTCCAGACATCAGGTCAAGAACTTCACAGTGGTGATGTGCAACTATGTACCAAGACACTGAAGATACCTCAGAATTGTTAGATGGCTTCCCTCAACAATTTCACATAGATACTGATTAGCAGGAGATGGGAGCAAAGTCCTGTGTCAACCTATACTGAAGTAACCAATAGGTCAACTGTTCCCTTCCCCAGATACTGACTTGAACCACTCACTCAGGAAAGAGCAAAACCACTTTCAAAGTGCCTCCAACTCCCAAACTGTACATAGGACACCATGGTTTATAGGAGTGAATGTTGGTGAGAGGTCCAATAGGAGCCTGAGGGACAATTTCCCTCTCTTCAAGTCCCAACTCATATCATACACCAGAGCAAAGATGTTTGTCCCCTATTCAGGTGTAAATCTGGACTGGAACAGATCTAGATAACTCATTTCTAGAATCTTCTGTAGCTGAAAGCCCACTTCTCTAAAATCCTCTCCTTCCCCCCAAAACCAAAAATTGTGGAAGTTGTCCAAGGAAGCTAAATAAAATTATTTATTCCCAAGTACACTAACGTATCAGGTTCCAGTTGGCAAATTACAACTAATGCTAATTTGAAACTTGGAGCAGACAGCGCAAAAAATGGAGGTACATGCAGGCATACCTCATTTTACTGTGCTTCATTTTATTGCGCTTTGCAGATATTATGTTTATCAAACAGCACTGGATGCTACACAGAAATCTTTTGTGAAAAGAAGTCAATTGATGTGGCAAACTTCATTGTCTTATTTTAAGAAATTTTTTAATTAAGGTACATACATTTTTTTAGACATGCTATTTCACACTTAATGGACTACATTATAGTGTAAACATAACTTTTATATGCACTGGGAAACCAAAAAATTCACAACTCGCTTTACTGAAATATTTGCTTTATTACGGTGGTTTGGACCTGAACCCACAATATCTCCAAAGTACAGTGGTACCTCTAGTTACGAACACCCCTACTTACGAATTTTTCGAGATACGACCAGCTCCGGCCCCAAAAAGTACCTCGACTTGCGAACTCGCCTTGACTTACGAACCGGATCCGCAGCCTTTTCCCGCGCCCGTGCCGCGTGGTCCGCGGCCATTTTCCCGCGCCCGTGCCGCGTGGTCCGCGGCCATTTTCCCGCGCCCGACGCGTGGTCTGCGGCCATTTTCCCGCACCTGACGCGTGGTCCGTGGACACCGGAACGGATTAACAATAATTACATTGAACCTTATGGGAAAATTTGCCTCGTGTTGCGACCAATTCAAGTTGCAACCAGAGTCACAGAACGGATTAAATTCGTAAGTCGAGGTTCCACTGTATGCCTATAATTAAAAGGATGCAGAACATCGGTACTTTGACTTACCCATTCTTTTGTCAATTACTTCCATTGATTTACTGAACTGCAGCACTGCTTCCTCATATTGATTGTTGTAGTGATAGGCCAACCCAAGATGGTAGTGAGTCTCTGCAAGCAAACGGTCATGGGCTTCTAAATACTTCTGCTGAAGAGCCAAGCAGGAATGGAACTCTTCTATAGCTTGCATGTAGTTTTCTGCAGAAGACATCAGAAAATCATGACAAACATTCTCCCAAAAGTAGAGAGACTCAATTCTAAAACAGTATAGAAAAATATTCACATTCATTTTGGAAAGGAATTGTAACATATACATTTAATACAGGTAGTCTTTCATAGAGAGACTCAGTTCAGGAGTAAAATTATGGTTTTGCAAATCAGGAAAATAATAGCTAAGAATGTATCCCTAGGTCATCATTTTTCTCTTCTTCAGCCATCATATCAGTTTTACTAATTAAGATTAAGTGCCAGTACAGTGAAAAAATGCCAGGTATAAAAATGTGATTTAGGAAGCAAAGAGCCCTGTATTAGATCACAATAAAAAAACAAACAATCCAACTGTCAATTCATAGGATACATAAAAGCATTTCAAACTTGTCAAAACTATATGAAATACTTCAGTTTATGCTAATTTGATCAATTTTATACAATTTTAATGTGCAAATATGACTGAAATGTTGATAGTCTAATTCATAACAGACACACTGTGTACAGTCACAACATGCAAAATCCACTAGAAACAGCGTGCCTGGGCAGCTTTAAGTCAATTACCAGATTCAATGCTAACTTCTCCTAGTTTTAGATGAGCCTGAGCAGCATGGAGCTGTGCTTCTTTAGTGTCCTGCCTAGACCAAAAAAGAGTACATTGTAAAAACATTCATCAGTAATATAGTTAAGGATATTATTTTATTAGAACTCTAAGACATACCTTTTATATATTACTTTTGCCAATTCTAACATATCCCAAGCCAGTTCTAAGTTTCCAACTTCATCTTCTTCACTCTCCTGAAGCAATATAATTTAAAACACTCATATTAGATAGTATCAATTTCCTATCCCTTAACAGCAGACATAAGTATTGGACTCTGGCACAGAGTCCCCTGAAAGTGATATACTTTCTTCTACCCTCATAGGAATAAACACCCATTAAGGAGAGATTTCAGAGCTCTAGAACAGAGATTATCTTTTCCACAGAACCAGAAAATGGTATTTTAAAAAACATTTACCATACAGATGGAAGAGAAGCAGCTATCTGTAATCTACTAATAGGACATACATTTTTTCCTGCAGTAACACTGATAAACATTACATCATCTTTTAATAGATCTGAATACTGATTTATACTTCACCTTTTCTTCAGCTGTAGAATAATTCTCTTTGTCCTCTTCAGTTTTATCTTCTTCTTCTGACCCTTCTGTCTCTGTAAGAGGAGTTTCCTGTTCATATACACTAGTGGCATGCTATTTACTTGGCTCTTTATTTTACTGAATGCTGCTATTCTTGCAGCTTCATTACTTAACAATATTTCTAATCTCCAAGTGGATGCTATTCAGTTTTATAACTGTCAAGACAAAGCCTGTGGGTTATGAAACATTCATATTTAATTTTAATATCTGCAGACTAAAGATTCAATTTGAATACTTCCACTTTTTCTTACCAAAGTACTGTAATTTCTATTCATACAAGAATTTCTGACACACAAATTGAAAACACTTAAAGGTACATGACTCTGAAATTTCTTTCTATTTTATACTGCCATAATGGAAAGGCCCTAAACCCATTAAGGAATATAATTTCTTTGCAAATAGTAATGCTTCAAACCATTAAACTAATCTTGCTAAATAAAAATTAATTTTTAGAATAGTTCAATGCATTGGTCAGCTTCTCTAGAAAGGACTGTTTACAATGGATACCATTCCTCAAAAACGTAAGGTGGGATAGATCAAGATAGTTACTCTGCAATTCTTGAGAAAATATGCTGTTTACAGAGCAAGTAAACAGTGTCTTTCTGTAACTGACTGGTTCTTAACTAAATACAATCTTTCTAAAAAAAATACAGGAGGTACAATCTGAAGTTTCAACAAGGTCTGAAATATTACGCTGACATGCCCTTTTAATATTTCTCAATTATATTTTGCAAATAGCTGCAATTATTAAAACATTTCACTGCTTAAAAACTGTACATATAAATTTTCAAAATCATATAAGATAGCAGCAACACCAAAAGAAAACAAGTACAACATGAAAGTTATTAATTTGCTAGTTGCACTGTTATATTTCTAGATATAACAAATTGTTATATTTTTAGCACAGATCCATAACCTTGGCATTGTAATGTAACAGTACTTTGGTGAATCCTACTCCTTGGGTATACAATGACAGGAAGCAAGCTATGTTTTTAATTGTTTTGAGTTAATCTTGCGATATCAGAGCATGCAATAAACATCCATTCAGCATTCTCTAATAGCCACTGCTTTTTAGATTTACTTATGCTAACAACAGTTCCCAATCAGCCAATAGTTTTACTATGTCCATCAGATAACTGTTTGGGGGTAAAAAGGGAGTGGGAGGAATTATACTATTCCTTCCACTCTTAAACTGCTCCTTAGCTACATTCCTTCCCTCATTCAAGGTAGAGAGAATTCTGAATGGATTCTAGTTTTACTTGGGTTAGCACTCTAACAAAATCCACCCACAAGTATTTTCTATCCCTGTTACCTTCGCCCTCTCCCATCTCGTGATCCTTTTCTTCCTCCTTTTCTACCTTAGCAGCAGCTTCAGCTTTTTCTTCAATTTCTATTTCACATGACTGTTCAACATCCCCAGAAGTAATTTCATTTGGAGCTGTAGGTAACACTTCTCCTGAAGCCACAGGTTCTTTCAATTTTTCTTCTTTCAAATCCAGAGTTTCTTGTCCAGCAATAATGTCTGTTTCTTCAACAATAGCTGTAGCTGTCTGTTCTGCCTGCCATTCTACTTTATCAACAGCAGACACCAACTGTTTTTCTTCTAGTATCTCACCTGAAGTTTTTGCTAATGTCTCTACTATCGAATTTTCTAGCTTTGCATCTGTGTGCTTTTCACCAGCCATAACTACAAGCTTTTCTGCCTTCTCTTCCACCTTTTGCAAATCTAATTTTTCTTCTGCAGCTGCTTGTTTCTGTATAGTCTCTCCCCCAGCTGCTTCTGCAGCCTCTTCTACTATTAGTTTTTCTTCCCCAGGAGCCTTATCTACAACCAATGCTTTCTTAAGTGCAATGTCTTCCTGGGCTGCTTCTGCTACTGCTGGCTTTTTTCCACCAGCTATCTCTTCTGGCTTTTCTTCTGCAGCAGCACTATCTTCTAGTGAATCTTCAACAGTTATTTCACTGACCTGTTTTTCTTGCACACCTTCTACTTGCTTGGTTGTTGATTCTTTTTCTCCAAAACTGTTGTCTTCTATATTCACAGCTGCTTTTTCTTCTCTAACTTCTTCCATTTCTGCATCTTTATTTTTCACTGGCACTCTAGTTTCTACCAGAGAGTCTTCTGAAGTTTTTCTTGATTCGTTTTCCCCCATGGCATTATATACCTGCTCTCTTAATTCCTCCCTTGCTTCTTCTACATGAAGATCAAGCACAAAGAAATCTTCGAATTTAGTGATAAGCATTCATGATCTTCACATCCCACCCTATGTCCCACTAACACCTTACTGCCAAGATACCAAATAATTTTTAACGTGAGAACAAGTGTCTCTGTAACATTTATGGACTGCAAGCAGTTGAGCTTAAGCAATGAGTTGTATGCTAGCAAGAGTTAACAGCCAAGCAAGAGATGCCAAGCTTCTTTTAACTGAGACATCAAACATTGCAGGGGAAGCTACTACAAACTGAGGGGCTAAAAGCAAATTTGAAAGGCAATTATTCACTCTGTAGTGAATTTTGTTTATGGTTCCAACAAAATTTATACATCAAATCTTATATAATAAGACTAGACAGTCCTGCACCATACATGAGTTGGTTGCAAGCCCAGGTCTTGGAATTTTTATTTGCTTTATTCACAAAACTTTTAAGGTTTATTTCCAATAATTTCTGAAACAAGTATATAAATCCAGGATTTCATCAAGAAAAAAAAAATAGGTGCCCAACCCCCATGAAAAACTAGTGGCAGGATTCCACATTAAGCTTCAATTTAATAGAAGCGTTAATTTAGCAAACTTTTTTAAAATGCTGCAATTATTTAAGCGACCTTACTAAATCACTGTAACTTTAAATTTTACAATTTGTGTTGTTTAAGGTGAACCACCCCAATTCATGCCTCATTTTCATTCAGAATACATACAGCTTGGCATCTCTCTAATGCATTAAGACAGCTCTACATACCATCTATATTATCAGCGCTTTCTACCATTGAGTCTTCTGTTTTTTCTTCTTCCTCTTCCACCTGCACTCCTTCCAAAGCATTTCCCAGCACCCCATTTTCCATTCTAGGAGAACAACATTATTTAATTGGTGAAATGACTTCCAGGCCATGTGTGAGACAATGACTATATACTAATGTCTCACTAATCACTGTTTAATGGAAACTACTTAATATTTCACTCTGGTAGTTTAGTGCTCAAGATCTAATAAATTACACGTCTAAACCAGGAACACTCTAAAGAATTAAAAAATGCCAATGATATAGCATAACACCATAAATGGCCCATTCTCTCATGTTGGACAGTTTTACTTTGAAAAGTAAATATATGGCTCATTGAAAAGAATAGCTTGAAATGGAGGTGTCCAAGATTTACCAACTCCAAACAAATAACATAATTTGCCAACCCTTAATAGAAGGATAAGTGCACTGTTCACAAATGTTTAGATTTCTACACTGGACCTAGGACTAGGAAAAACTAGTAGATCTGGTAACACATGTTCAGTAATAAAATATAGTACAGCAGCTATACTGAGAACTCTGTTTATTCTGGTCTCTTTTTGAGACTTGTTGGAAGATTTATATTAAATAGTAACAGCAAATCTTTACAAAATTCTTTAAGATAAATTATATCCATTTACAAAAACATCATAACACAAGCAACTGGCAGTACTTTAGATATTGGGGTTATCAATTATATACTAACTAGTTTACATTTTTAACACCATTAATGCGTGATAAATTAGGTTAGTGATTTTGGGACCTTCCTTAGAAAACAAAATGGCATAGAAATAGCCTGGCACACAGAAAAACTAGAGTACATATGCTTAGTAGCAATAATAAGTAGAATTATATGAAGTACTGACTGGTTAAATCTTAAGTGAATATACTGAGGTTCACTTGACCAAGTGATAGGATATATCAACTTACCTTGCCAACTCCAAAAGTGATTTTCCATAGAAAAAGAAAGCTTCAGCACACTCATTTGCTGTTTCACCATACTTCTTGCCCCTAAAGGAAAATTAGAGATCAACTCTCCCCATCTCTTTTGAGAAATATTTCAACTAACTGAACTTAAACAGTATTAAGGGATAAGCAATTTCAAATTAACTTAACATATTTTTCAAACTACTGAATGTTGAAGCATATTGCCATGTAGATAAAAAAATATCAATCTAACACACAGTAAAAAAAAGACAGCAGAGGCCTGAGTAAATTAGACTTGTACTAGATAAATGATTTGCTATTTGACTATCAACCCATTAGTCTTGACTACATAAAGCTTTTGTTAAAGCTTGACTGAAGTGGAATGTGAAAACCATGGTAAAAGATCATTACTGTAGCCCAACAGAGAATAAAAAACCTCTCCTGGTTGTTTGCCATTATAACTTCTTGATACAGCTTAAAACTATGTAAAGCACATCAAAAGTAAGGTACATCAGAAAAGACTAAAATAAGTGTTCAAATATTAAAAATATATCTATGAAATTACAGTCAGATAAACACTACCTAACATTTGCCACCATTAATTATAATCTCAAATCTTCAAAATGCTACTCCCTTTTAAAAGCAGATTTTAAAAATGCTCTAAATACTTACAAAAGGCTAGCAGCTTCCTGAAATGCATTAACAGCAGATGGAATATCTCCCATTACCAGATTCTTCTGTCCTAAGCCGAGTAGTCTCTTGGCTTCTCCATCCACATCGATACTGAAAGCATGAAAAAATACTTGGTATTGCCCAGAATATGATTTTTTTGGCATGCTCTACATATAACCAAGTCAATAGTTGAACAGCCAATAAATATAGACAGAATTGCCAATTTATGCCACATTTTATGCTTACTAGGCTTGGCCCAATAATATATCTACCAGCTTATCTCACTAAACATTTTCCACAGAAAAATTTACCATACCACATAAGCTCTAAAATCAGCAGTACCACAAATGCTCAAAATCTGATCTTATGTCATCTTCATCAGCTTTTGGTAGTAAAGACCTCAGTTAATTCATTACTCTGTCTCACACAGGTTTGCTTTTTTATCCAATTGATTTCTTACCTCTCTGTTTTGTCAGCAGAAGTAGAGGGAGCAGAACCTTCTTCTGTCATCCTGAAACTGAAAATGCAAGTTAGACAAGCTAGGAACAGTTTTCAAAGTTCAGCCAGAGGGCACTTGGAACATGAAAATGTAATAAATGCTTACTATTTAAGTATTTTGGCTATCACCAGTACATTATTTGCTATAACTTGCTACTTCAAATAAGTTGACTACTTTTCTTAAGGAGTCATGCAGTTGTAAATCATTAGCTTCTTCATTGCCCAGAAAGCATTAAATTGTTATGGGTAAAAATTAAAAACTCACAAGTGGTTTAAAAGAACCTTAAAATAGGATTTCTATACATAGGAAACATTTGATATATATTCTAGTGACAAAAAAAGCAGTATGGATAACTACAATTTGCTATTTCCCATAGCTTTAACTATGACAAGTTCTAGCAAGGAAGAAAGCATATAGTCCTCTGAAATACCTATACAGGCATGTGGCTAGCTAATTACTGGAACAACTGAACAAAAAAAGTATTCTACAAAACAGCATTTCAAGCTTTAGTTTCTCAAGGACGTTTCATTTCCTGTCCTGAAGCGAAACCGTAAGCGGTCAGGCCTCCCAACTAGGCAAGAACCAGGCAATAAATACAGCAGCCAGAGTAAAAGTCAGGTCCTACAATACACCCAATGGGTCAAGAGGCATCAGACTGGCATCAATATCAATAACTCAGGTTTCTCACACATGCTTATGCGGTCACATCGTAAATAAAGCCGTTACTGCTAACCAAGAGGGAGCGTCACACTTCCCACGGAAGGGAGCCTATTAGCTGAAGAGACAATGGACCACCCTTTCACCTCCCCTCTGTCAGCTCTTTCGGCGCCAAATCTCAACGGCCGCTTTTGATGGGCCAAGACTGCTGACCACGTGACTCATTTCCTTCCTTCTCCACCCCCCCTTCCGCGCTTTGGCGCGCGCCAGATTAATAGCCATTAAAAATGGCGGCATAAACTCCAGCCAGATCACGTGGTGTCTCGGTTTTTAAGGAGAACCGCCGCCTCCTTCACGCCGAGAGGACGGCACGTACGAGCCCCCTCAAGGGGGAGGGGGGAATGGGTGCCGTTGCAGAGAAAGGAATTATAGGAAAAAATCCAGACCGAAAATTTTACAATAGTATCCGCACATCGCAGATTACTACCCGGAGAATAAACAACGCTCGAAGCCTCCGAGGAGGTATCTTCGTATCGCGGCCGCTGCCGCCCCCTCATTGCACGAACCCACAGTTCAACTCCCCCTTCCTGCTTATTCCGCTCCAGAAGAAAGAAATCATGACTCAAGCCCCTTGTACCTTAGAAGGCGACGGTAACCAGCAACCCGCCACAGAAAATCAAAAGCGAAGCAGCAGACAAATGCAGCCCACCGCCCCTCCAGATGCTTATATAGCTCCTGAGGACACGCCCCAGCGGCGCGAAGCACGCTCTCACGGAGAAGGAACTACGTTTCCCAGAATACTTTGTGGTCGCCGCAAAGGGCTTTCGACGAGTCGGAAGGCGCCTCCAAGGTAAAGGAATGGTAGTCTCCCGACGAGTGACATTAATAGCTACCATTGTAGTAGAACCGTGAGGTTCCCTCTGCGATGCGATTGGTATTTTGGGAAAGGTAGTCCAGGAATCGGAGTAAATAAAGCTCACTATCTCAGCGTGGTGGAAAATGCAATCTCGAGAACAGTCTTTGTGGGTTGCATGCCTTAGAACGGATCTGGAAGGATTACAAAAATAAACGTGCAAGATATTTATCTGCCTCAGAATCTCTAGTTTCCCGGGCTTTCGCTTCGCCTTACCTTGTTGCTTTGACTTGGATCAACTGGTCTATCCCGAAATAATCTCCATAAAAAACTATGTACGCGAATAGGTGCTCCCAGTGGGTACAGGTAAAGGGGCACTAGTGTGAGGTGGGGCTCACCTGATCCTCCTCTCACACAGAGATGACCAGAGGGAGAGGAAAAGTCTTGATCAACTATGAAATGATGCAACTATGTGCACACCATTCTGTTCACTATGAAATCTTCCTCGGGAAAAATAAAAGTACTGTATTTGGGGGGGGGCAGTAATCTGTAGGCTGTTTACACATCATTCTAATCCTTAATTTAAAGAATCATTGTCTACTGAATTAATCTAAACGCTATAGTCTGCAGAATATATGAACCTGTTCAGAGTTCACACACTACACAAATTAGCCAACCACATAGCACAATGTAAAAAATCCAGCTCAAAAACCACATACATAAGCAGCAACAAGGTATGCATGGTGTGATCAATCATTAAAACTGCTAGCTGGGTTTACACATCATGTTAAGTCATAAAGTGTTTTGATTCATTTGGCTTAGCCCATTGTGGCTTATTCAAAAAGTATGGTCAAATAAACTATGACCTGGTACAGTGTGTGAATTTGGCTTTGACCATTGTATCTGACCTATGTAGAATAACTGGAATGTATTTATATCATGGAAGTAAACAGAAGACAACCAGCTGCAAGATGGATGGCCTCAGTTACAGTGGTGATGGGTGTACTATCGGAAGACCTGAACGACCAGGTTAAGGACAGATTGTCATAGACAAAATCTATCAGTGTGGTCACTAAGAGTCACCATTGACTTGATGGTACAAGGACCTTAGAAGCAATATAGTACAACAGAGCTGGAATACTTTTTAAAACCATACAGGCTAGGTTCACACTCTAGGCTAAAACGTGATTGGTTAGATTGGTTCAGTGGGTCATATGAACTTGGCCAATGTCTTTGTACAGATGTTCATTCTAGAATTTTGCTCAATGTTTGTCTTAGTGCCTCATGCCAATGTAATAATAGTGCTCAATGTGAAAAATCAGTTCTGAAGTTTGGTTTTTCAGTGGAATGCCTCTATGATAGTTTGCAACCCAGATAAAATACTTTTGTAGAATAAAATCCAATAAAAGGATCTACAAGCTGCATGGAAATTATATCCTTCTATGTGGCTATCAAATCTTAAGATATATCTGTGACTTAAACCTAATTACATGATTGTTTATAGGGAAAATGTAAATAGTCTGAGGCTTCAGAATCAAATTTTCTGCTACAAGGAGGATCATTTATTTATTATTATAAGATTAATTGCTTAAAAAGGATTACTAAAAACACTGAAGCAGATTAATACACAAGCTATAGCTTCATTAATTTTATATTCCTAAATTCTAATTATAAGCATAATAACCTTTCACAGTGATACTTCGCTGACACAAAAGCTACAGAACAAAAATATTACAAAAAACAGATATATCAACTTACTTGCTTCACAGTATCATTCTGGAAAAGTGATAATTGCATTATTTCAGGTGGGGATATAGGACAGACTGCTTTGGTGAGTGATCTGTACTGGGAATCACATGAGAAGAGTGCAATGCTAATACTTTTCATAGAACCTTTGGTAACTAAGGTCAATGGTCATGGGAGGTGCCAGGCTTAGAGGCATTATTTCAGAGCTGTTTCATGCTTCCCTGAGAGATTGCACCCAGAAGGTAGTGATGGAGGAATTTCTATTTTATATCTTGATTGCTAAATTATGTTCCATAACATTCTATTTTGTTCCCTATAAAGTTTAATCTCTAATTTGTATAGAACCATGAAGAGATACTGTCAATATGCTGATGACACCTAACTCTATAGCTCCTCTCCTAGGAAGCAATTAGTACTCTTGAACACTACCTAAATTCCATAATGGGTGGGATTAGGGAAAACAAGTTAAAATTCAATTCAGAGAAGACAATGATTTGGGGCAGCCTGTTTTGGATGAGATTTCACTCCCCGTGAAAGAGTAGGTCTTAAGCCACTGGAGTGCTCTTTAAATTCAGTTATCATAAGTTCCAGGGTGGCAGGTGCACTAAAGAACATGTTTGCACAGTGATATCTTGTGCATTTCTGTGCTAGTCAGATTTGACAAGGGTTATCCATTTCTTCGTTACATCATGATTTGACCATTACAATGCACTCTTCATGGATCTTTCTATAAAAGTTCCACTAGTCTTAATTGGTGCAAACTGGAAGACGTTAGGCTTTTATGATGCCTATGTTGCAAGTTCTGCAGTGGATGCTAATCAGGCACAATTTAAGGGGTATCTGCTTTAAAGCTGTAAATTGATTTAAATCTGGATATTAGGTACATTCTATAGTTTACCTCTGCCACTACAAATTTGCCCAGACATTAAAATGAGCAGGATATAACCTTTTGCAGATGCCTTCACATTCAGAGGTACATTGTTGAAGCATGTACGAGAAAGCTTTCCCTTGCATCATTCCAAACCAATGAAATGCACTCATTTGAGAGCTGTGCTTCGATTTCTTTTATCTCTGCCCTCAAGACAGCAATTAAGATTCATCTTTTGTTAGGTCTTTAGCAGTTTAGTGTGCATGTATGTAAGTATGGTGCCTTCGAGTCAGTGTTGACTCCTTGCAACTACCTGGACTAGTCCCTTCAGTTTTCTTGCCAAGATTTTTGGAAGTGGTTTGCTACTGCCTCCTTCCTAGGGCTAAGAAAGAGTGACTGGCCCAAAGTCACCCAGCTGGTTTTGTGCCTAAGGAAGGACTAGAACTCAGAGTCTCTTGGTTTCTAGCCTGGTGCCTTAACCAGTACGCCAAACTGACTATTTCAATATACTCTAAATTCTTTTATTTCTTTCTTCTTAAAATGGAGTTGTATTTATGTTGAATTCAATATATCTGTATTAATATTTCAGGTTCTTCTATTTCTGGCTCAGGAGAAGGAAATGGACAAATCTGTACAGAATGGGAGAAGCTTCACTCCAAAGTACAAATACATTCTGAAATTCTTGTGAGGTTGTTTAGATCTCTCAAGACATCCAAACCAACCCATTTTTATGGAAAGTTATGTTTCAAAGTGTTAACACATACCTCAATGCCGCATTTAACATAATGTTTCATTTTATGCCAAACATAACAAGCAAATTGTCACCATCTTAATTGTTTTTTGCATATTTCCCCCCTTTTTTTATTCCATACATTCACTTTCATTTTTTAACAAAAGTAGAAACAGGGCTGGGTTATCTTCAAAGCTGCCTGCTCTGAAATGAATCTGAACTTCCAGTAATATCAGGCCTGCTGAGAACTGTGGCTCCAAGGCAGTTCCACCTGTAGGGATCCTATAATTGGACCTTCTCAAGGATGATTTCCTTCTAACTTGCCCTCACATATATAGACCACCATCTTCCTGATATGCTTTCCTAGTGTGTGAAAATGTGGCTACAAGAGACAGTATTAAGGCCTGCCCTGGTGGATAGGGCTATAATGGTTTAAATTATGCTTTTTTGTTTGCTATTTTTTAATATTTAAGTTGCTCAGAGCTGGATGGAATGAAGCACATATATTTTAGTAATAAAATAAGAAGACTGGAGAGAGATGATAGTCATGTTAAGATACATAAAGGGAAGCTACAAAGAAAATGTGCAAGAGCTAATTTCCAAGATCACAGAAACTTGGACCAGAAATAACAAGTATAACTTGCAGCTACCTAAATTTCATTTAATTCAAACTTATGGTAAGATCTGAATAACAATGGAACAGTCTACTTGCAGACTGTGGGTTCTCCATCTTTGGAAATTTTCTAAAAGAGGCTGGACAGCTACCTCTCAAGGATGGTTTAATTGTAGTGGGCTGGACTAAATGATTCTTGTGGTCCCTTCTAATTCTACAGTTCTATGAATCTTCCACTTAATAAGGTTTAAATAATGGCGTACTAGCAACAGTCTTGTGCAATCTGGATCTCCAGCCGGGTAAGCATTGCTAAAAATTCTGTGAGTAGAAAACCATGCATCTGGAAAGCATAAAGTTGAGGAAGGCTGACATAGATGATGTTTGAAACTCATAGCAGCTAATGAATTTGCTTGTATAAATAAAGTTGTTCTTATTTTCTGAAGAAATAGATTTTTAAATGTCTGTGTCTCTATCAGAAATCTGACACTGATGATTTGTTAAGAACAAGTGCTACAAAGAGAACTGGGATTATATTTTGGATTTTACTGATTTGCTAAAGATATGGCACATGTAATTAAGCTACATGATTAGGTCAAGAATGTTCCTATTAGAGCTACAGAGAAAGAAATTTATTTGTGCCCCCTTTAGTTTCATTTGAAAAATTAAAGTTCTGCACTGGGACTGGTTCAAGTCCCCCTTAATCATAGACTTAGCCCCCCTGCCAGGGACTTGATATTATATCTATAGATTCTTTTAATTAAAAAAAAAGGAAAGCCATCATACTGCAAAGAGAAGCATCAACCTCAAGCATGATCTTTATTTCCAAGAATGTAATATATCCCAAAGGTGTTCTGAGAAAATAAGAGGGATAGGGTCTGCAAACAGTTCTTATTTATAAATCTGCTGCTTGCCTAGAAACAAAAAAGAAATTGAGGTGGGAGACCAGAGTGAGTAACAGATTAGAACCTTACTAGTTTGCTTTCTAGTGTTCTGTGATATGCCCACCATGGCAGCCATTTTGTGGCATGTAAAATCAAATGTAATACTAACCCAGAGAGTAAGAGATCTCTAGTTTGGAAGGTGATCCTACTATGCGATAGAGTTGATTTAGTTAAATATAAGCTGAGGTGACAAATGATTTTCATTCAGCTCTAAAGGCAGCAGCAATACTAAGCATACTCTTCTGGTCTGTATTACCAAATACATATTGGGATAAAGTCAAGAACTCTGCTGTCAAAATCTATACATAACTATTAGGAGTTATGACAGGAGATCCAAAATTTTAATATGTAAAGCATACTTAATACTTCTTGCATTTATTCCTATTATTCCTATTTGAGCAAATATTTTGGCCCAAATGTTTAAAAGAAGTGGCAGAAAAGTGTTATTTAAGATCTTACAAAAATTTCTGAGGTTGCACAATTTATATTGTTAAACTATTGTTTCTCTAAAACCTTTGTTAACTCTTCAAGATTAAATAAAATCCTACAGATATAAAATTTTATTTGGCTTTTTAAAAATCTAATAATTGATGGCAGTAGCAATCCTGAATGGAGTTACATCTCATCTTGGTAAACTCTATGAATTAATATGGTTCATTGAAGGGATAGAGTGGGTGTCCAGCATCCCTTGCTATCAGTTTGTCCCCCACCTGGAAAAGACAAAGAAAAGTGTTAGTTAAAAAGAAGCACGATTGTTCCTATTATTTCAAAGTGAATAGCATTCTCAGAAGTTTGGCTTTATTTAATAACAAAATCATCCTTTTTACTCCTCTGACAGCTTCTAGAAATAAACCTTCTGTATCAATTGCAACTTAAAATCAGCACGATACTACATTATACACGCAAAGGTAGCAAATACATCACTAAACTAAGTACAGCTCAGGCCTCTGAAGCAGCACAGCTTCCAACGTAGGGTTTTTTTTTTTAATTTTTACACATACACACACACACAAACATGGTAAAACATCAGAGAATATAAACAAGAACTTGGTGAGAATGGTGAATGTTTTAAATATTTGCATTTGCTATATCATATTTATCAATATGTAGTGTTGAAAAGAACACTTTAAAAGAAACATGTTAGAAAACATCTATCCTAGTGATAAATCTTAAGAAAATGGGAAGGAGGCATTATACTTTTGCAAATGACCTTAACTAACATTTAGGATTTTGAAAAGCTTTTAAGACAAATTGACACTACAGTAATCCTTTGCCATACCCAAGACAACCATACAAATTTGATCTCCATGGGAGATTTTCTGTATTTCAATTTGCCTTTCATAACCCTCAGAATCTGAGTATTGGCAAAGCAGAGAAACATCCATGAAAGCTGATGTGTGCTGGTGCAATGGTTCTTCTCATCAGAGATGGAGGGAAGCAACAATTGCAGTCTGATTTCATTCTTTCTCAGTGAGCCTCTGTTGCAAGTATTTACACTTGTACTCACATTCTTAAGTGTTCTACACATGTGAGTGTATATATGCATTGGCCTTGTTAGTTACTGATATCCTAATGGGGCAAAGTCCTATTAGTGATATAGTAATAGTTTCCTAAATGAAAATGACAGCTGTCTACTAAAAAATAAATAAATTAAAATGACCCCCAAGCATGTGATCAGAGGTGAAGTTCCTTAGTGCTTTAGGTTTGTGATGGTCTTAGAAGAAAAGATCCTGATGTGTGGCAGTGCTTCAAGAGATTTAATGGTCAAGATTCTATGTTTTTATATCGGGCCCGTAATCCACATGATTTTATGGATAAGAACAAGAGCCTATTTTCTAGAGTGTGGAAAGGCATGGGTAACTGGTGCACTTTTAACGTACTGATTCAAAATCTGTTTCACCCATGAAATAAACACTATTTGAAAAATAAAAATGTACCTTTCAAGGTGTGGCTGATTTTTAATAATGCTCCTTACTATCCTGAGGATAAGTTGCTCATTCAAATACTGAAACATATCACTCTGTTAGGCCACGGACAAGAATCCAAGAACTGATTAACATCATCAAGAATCTCCAAAAACAGACTGCTTCATCAAGCAGTGATAAAGAAAAACTGGAGGGACATCCATTTAAATAAACTATTGCAGCATGCAACCAAGATGACAGATGAAGTGACAAACATTCATCCTTTTATGGAATACAGCATGGCTTAGAAAGTCACTAAATGAGATTAAAATACTATATAAAGAAATGCAAAAAGACTTAAGAAATAAAAATATTCAGCCATCTAGTCATGCTTCCTTCAAAAAAAGCTGCAAGTCCAACAGCCAAGCCTGAGCCTCAACCATTCATTAGTGGATGTGAACAGCCATCATCATCAACATTATCTATATTAATATCACCAGAGCAAGTAAGGTAAGGATTACCTCTAAACTTATATTGTTCTCAAAAATATATTCTGGGTTTTTTTACTATTGTTTCTTTATACTGATGTTTTTGTTTTATTTTAATATTAAGGAATCTTAATAGGTTGAATCATGATTTAATTCCCTTAATCCTACTTTTCCCATATGGTCTTAGGTTTATCAAATTGTGAGGGTTTTCAAAAAGGGAACCTTTGTAATTGGCAACAGGTTACTGTATAGTTGTGTTCTATACCTCAGAAGCCACTAGAGGGCACACGATACCAACCAAAAAACAAACACATTTAAACTTTACATTTGTTCATGTTTTCTATTAAATGTTGCACTTTAAGAAATGGATTAAAGTACAAAATAAATCCATAAAATCCAGTAACAATATTTTCAAAGTAAATATCTGATCCTTTTTGAGATGGAAGTAAAATCCTCTACAGTGCTACCATATATTCTTCATAATCTAAAAAAAGACCGTTTTCAGTCATCTTAGACCATGTTCTGAATTTAAGCTTTTCAGCAGTAAGAGTTACATTCAAGGAGGATCTTAAAACAGCATGTCTATTCATGTTTTCTTATGTGAATAAAGCACAGATGAAGAAAACTAGTTGCTCTTTGTATTTTACTCCAGACTTAATAGATTATA